ACAAAGCTAATCATCCCCACCTCAACCTTCTGATGTAATCAACATTAAGAGCTTGCTAAGTACTCTTCCACAACTCTCTTTGTTCATATGAACAGATCAAACCTACGTGCACAAGTTTGTTTCCACCAAAACATAATAATATCATATACAGTATTTTACAATTTGTTTCACTTTATATGTATATATACATACATACACATATATTTTATATAATACATGAAATAAACAGACTGTATTACTTAACAAAATATAATGGAAATATTCCACAGTCTTAAATTATTTTCCAGTTCTAAAATTCATTTTTTCTTTTTTAGAAGGCCCACTGTCAGAAATAAATTTCATTTTGGTATTTGTTTGGAAAACATACCACCATTATAATTATTGGTAATAAATTATTTAATGTCTTTCTTCCCATTTCACTGACAGCTACATGAAGTAAGGGTACTTATTTTGCTAACCACAAATCTCCAGATTTTAAGGTAGTGTTGCCAGGATAGCAACTGCCTACAGTATATTTGTTCATTGTTTCAGAGCTGCCTGAAACCTTCAGTCTACTTAAACTAGGTCACTGCCAACAATCAAATATATGTGTGTCTTTAGGAACTCACGCCCAAGTAAGTCACCACTCAGTTTTATATGAATGGAACCTAGTAATGATACATTTTAAATAATTGTAAAAAATTGTGCTTTATAGCAAAAAGCCTTCTGCCACAAAAATGATTTCTTTTTTGAGATAAAGTGTTGCTCTCTCTCCCAGGCTAGAGTGCAGTGGCACGATCTTTGCTAACTGCAACCTCTACCTCCTGGATTCAAGCAATTCTCCTACCTCAGCCTCCTGAGTGTCTGGGATTACAGGCACGTGCCACCACACCCAGCTAATTTTTGTATTTTTAGTAGAGACGAGTTTTCACCATGTTCATCAGGTTGGTCTCAAACTCCTGACCTCAAGTGATCTGCCCCCCCATCCCCACCGCACAGTGCTGGGATTACAGGCATGAGCCAACCTGACTGGCCAAAAAGGAATTTTAGAAGACAGATCTGTCGGGCACAGTGGCTCATGCCTGTAATCCGAGCACTGTGGGAGGCAGAGGCAGGAGGACCACCTGAGATCAAAAGTTTGAGACCAGCCTGGCCAGCATGGCGAAATCCGGTCTGTACTAAAAACAAAAAATTAACCAGATGCCGTGGCATATGCCTGTAATCCCAACCACTCAGGAGGCTGAGGCAGGAGAATCACTTGAACCTGGGAGGCAGAGGCTGCAGTGAGCCGAGATCCACTGCACTCCAGCCTGGGCAAAAAAAGCGAAACTCCGTCTCAAAAAAAAAAAAAAAGTCTGATCACATATTTAGTGGAAAGAGAGCTCTGCACTCTTAATTAGGAGACCTGGGGACAGGGTGCAGTGGCTCACGCCTGTAATTCCAGCACTTTGGGAAGCCGAGGTGGGTGGATCACCTGAGGTGAGGAAATCAAGACGAGCCTGGCCAACATGATGAAAACCCGTCTCAACCAAAAATACAAAAATTAGCCTGGCATGGTGGCACGCGCCTATGGTTTCATCTACTCAGAAGGCTGAGGCAGGAGAATTGCTTGAACCCGGGAGGCGGAGGTTGCACATTGCACTCCAGCCTGGGCAACAACAGCGAAACGCTGTCTCAAAAAAGAGGAGAAGGAGGAGAAAAGAAGACTTGAATTCCAGTCCCACCTCTTCTATTATTTATTTATTTATTTTTTTTAAGACGGGGTTTCACCGTGATGGCCAGGCTGGTCTTGAACTCCTGACCTCAGGTGATCCACCCACCTCGGCCTCCCAAAGCGCTAGGATTACAGGCGTTAGCCACCGCGCCCGACCGTGCCATTAATTTTCTATGAAATAGGCACTACTGTAACATTTTCCGTACTTTACAAATTAGGGAACTGAGGCACAGCGAGGTGAAGTAACTTTCCCAGCATATCAAAGGATGTGATGAAGACAGGATTGGAATCCAGGCAGGGGGCTTCAGATCTCATTCCAATAATCATAGGGAATGCTTGATGTCATAATTCCATGACTATTTCAGTGGCTTGCATTTTTATCTCAGCCCAGGAGTACTGGGGGGACACCGTCTGGTCAATATGAGGGTTCAAGGACACAGGGGCACATCAGAGAAACCACCAAGAGCTCTGATAACAAGCGACAAGGGAAGCAACAATCTCTCACAATTTCTAAGCCAGCAAGGTGAAGCGGAAGGTGTCAGTGAGTCGTACGCACGCCCTCCTCTCTGGTTGGGTACGGGCGAGCGTGCGGGTCACGCCAGGCGAACGCACGTCTGTGAACTCGGCGGGAGGCGGGGAGAAAGGGCACGCGGTGAGCGCGCAGCGTGCGCGCCGAGTGCGCGCCAGCCCTTCCGACGCCTGCGCGGGCGGGCAAACGGACGGCTCCGCCCAGCCGCGGGCTCTTTTGCTCCACCCCACTACCCCCGCCTTCGCGGCGCGCGCTTCCTCGCCCTCCCCACCTTTAGCGATACCAACGAGAGGACACCGCCTGCATCTAGAGCAGCCCGGCCAGGAGCGAACCCCAGTGGCGCGCGAACGTGCGAGGAAACCCGTGCGCGGCTGCGCTTTCCTGCCCCCAAGCCGTTCTAGACGCGGGTGAGTGGCGGGGCCTCGACCCCCACCCCAAGCACACCCTGACTCCCCTCCATCTCTGTGGGGAAGCCTGGGCCCCATCCCGTTCCCAGCATGCTCCACGCGGGATGCTCGGGCAGGTGCAGCGGGAGGATTGTCCGCACTGGAGACGGAGACCCTTCTTCCTGGGGGCGCTCTCTTGATCCCTCAAAGGGATCTTGAAGTGACCATCCCTCTCAATTCTCTATTTCGTCTTCCTCCCTTTTCCGTACTTCACCCCAACTACCTTCACCCAAAAAGGTTAATCTAAAAACCACTGGGCTAGTTTCTGCTTCATTTGTGCTCCTGTGCAGTTTTAAGTTTCCCTCTGCACAAAGCACAAAATATCCTATCATATGCATCCCTAGTGTTACATTTTTGCCCCACTGATGGGGAAAATATCTCCTTAGGATAATTTGTGCAAGTATATTTTTATTTAAAATGTGTAGACTTATTGAGTTTTCATCACTATTTTTGCAGCCAGGAGTAGGATCACCATCAGGAAGAATTCTAGCACATATGCCATAATTGAGCAAAGAGACGTATGTGAATCATATATTGGCCAGAAATAATGAAAACTGCGTGACATGAAATATAAAAATCCTATATAAATTAACGTTAGAGCGCACCTGATAATTCTTTTTTTTT